AGCGGGGTGGAAGGGGGTGGGGGTGGGGTCATTCAAAGTTCATTTTGATTCGATTCCCAGAGAGTTCGACCCTTTGTAAAGAAGAGGTTGTTTTTTTTTTTTACTTTACTTGTCTAGACTTATGTAAGTCAAACGCTTTGTCATTGCTTGAAATGTAGGTACATTATAATCTCAATGACCCCGCGGGTGCAATATTTAAAGGGCCTGTGAACCGATGGACCGATGAACCGATGGATAGCTTATGTCATCTTGTCGATTGTGACAGTTATGATACCGTTATCAAAGATGCTTCGCGTGTTCGTAAAGCGTTTATCTTCCGAAGCCATGCACTATCTAACGTGTGATAGACTACTGATAGTGATAAGACGTAATTTGTTCTAATTTATGACTGACTTTAACTTAGGATGCAATTGATAACGCGTCTTCTCACGTTCTCACAATTTATTGTTATGACTTTACACTTTGCGCGGTTGGTTTTACCCTCAAAAGTATGCAGAAGTAGGTTTCAGGCTATATCAGACCTTATTTCAATTACGACTGCATACTTTCTCGCAAAACATAGTCAGTACGAGATTCGAGTGTGACTCCACATTTATTTATATCCTCTCCTCTGATTGGTTGCTTTTAGTTTAGCGGCAATCAGTTTGATAATGGTACATTTAACCACCAAAAAAATGCAGCCAATGAGAGATACGGATACCGATACAAATACGTAAATCTATGTCATCACTGACTGGCTATTTTTAGTGGAGGTTATTATTTCTACGATCAAATAGCTTGTGGAAGAGAATGCACCGCACACGATGCTCTCGAGCGAGACGAATGATAAAATAAGAAAGAAAACCTTAAAACATTTAATAATAATAAAACTGTGAAGTCATTAAAGTCCTACTCACCGGGTTTTGCTGAAGGCCTGCTGATGTCACTGTCCACTTGGGGTAAACAGGCGATTGGCTGTGAATGTGTATGGGACTTCTGGCTTGTCGGTTGGTCAGTCGATTGGTCCGTGTGGGTGATCCGCGTCCAGAACTGGTAGAGCTGCAGTCACAATGAGGAGGGCAAAGAAACAAGCGCTTTGTACACAACACAGTTCTATGAAATCTTTTTTTAGAAATGAAATCTCCGAACCCACGACACAGGTTTGGGCAGACTCCTCTTATCCCAGACGGAAAGAATAAATAGGTGTTATGTATCCTAATGGCTGGCGATCTGAAGGTCTTGGTCTCTTTATTAAGCGTAAACAGCGCGCGTTATTGATTTTGGCACAGTTCTGTTTGACTATCCTG